GCTGGCTGAGGAATTCTGGGAGTTGAAGTCCACCAGTCTTAAAGTTGCGAAGTTCAGAGACCTCTGCTCTAGGAAACAGTAGCTTTAAGCCCACATTTAAAAATAGGGATTCCAATGCTAGCAATGCAAAAGTTCCCTTTTGAAGTTGGAAAAGATGTTCCAACAAACAAATATAGAAGATTATCTGAGAAAACAATAACACATAACAAAAACAATATAAGTTTTGAGTCTACAACAGCTAATTTTACAGATTGAGAGAAACATTTTCAGAGCAAAGAAAGAAAGCAAAACAAATTATATAAGCTGCCTGGATATCTTTCACCAAAGAGAAGAAAACATCTTTTGAAATTAGATGGCTGGGCTGCAGAGAAGGTTCAGCTTCTCTTATCAATTTGTCTCCTTCAAATTATTCTGCTCAAAGGCAGAGCTTTTGAGTCAGTAATTATTTTTCCACCTTCTTTGAAGTTAACCCCTGCAAAGGATAATCAATCACTATTTCCCTCTAAAAACTACCTTTTTGATCACAACAAGCCTGGGCCCTGACAGACAATTAAAAGGTGGTGGTTTCTTATGCAATAGTTTGAGATGTTATCTGATTCAACGTGGCCATCTCTGATACTGGCTATTTTGCTTTCACTTTTTAATCTTGTAAACAGTCTGAACCCACTCATGCAAAGTCTATTATTATGTAGCAAAACTGGAGCCTGACAAATCCTCAGCTTGCCCCATACAGTTAGATGGCTGAGGTTGTGCTGGATGGTTTTCCTTTCCTCTGTTCTCCTCAAGACAGAAGAAAAACAAACCAGTTTTGTTTTTGGGGTCTCCTTTACAAGATTTGCAGAGTACTGGAAACAGTTCGGGGTTTTTAGAGCTCTTTCCTATTCCCAGAATAAATACTTTAAAAGAGTCACCCTCACCTATTTTTTGGAAATGTATCAATGGCTAATAAATGTTAGACATGAAGCAATTAGACATGAAGCAAATTATGCTAGGCACAGATTTCCTGTGGCAGAGAGTGCTTTGGATCACTGGAATTCAGAAAACCCAATGCAGAAGTCCATAGTTTCCTCTCTAGCAATCAGAGATGTTTCTGGACATGGACAAAATGAAATGTTCTCGTAATGGATTATAGGTTTGTTTCTGTTGTTGGTGCTGATATGAATATAAATGCTGCCTTTCAGGATGGATTCATTCTGTTAATGCTAAATTTGGAAATTGATGCTTGTGATGTTTACAGCCTGCTTTGCTCCTGTTATGCCAATTAAGCAGTAGACAGACAGGCATGGAATATTTCCAGGCATAAATTCCCACTCATAAACCAGCAAGGCCAACTTTGCTTAGTGTCAGAAAATGCTTTTAAATCTCATAGCCGGAGTATTAAGAACCTAAATCTGTAGTGAACTTAATTTTTTTTTTTAAGCCCTAGCAGATATTAACAGGAAAGCCTAGACCAGCAAGTGTCACAGCTGTGATTGGGTACCAGGCAATTGGTTTTTAGGATCCAGAGACAATAAGGACACCAGTAAATAAAGGGATTTTAAGCTTCATTAGCTCAAGCAAACAGATTTAAAGGCATAATATTAAATGCATACATACCAAGGAAGATGAAACCCAGATCTCTTACAAATTGAACGAGATGGGCAGCAAATACATTTGATACTTTAAAAAAACTCTCAGGAGTTCCTTAATAACAACAGCAGAGATATAATGGGGGCTGCCAGTTTCCATGGTACCCAATGCTAGATTCTTACAGATGCTCCCAACGAATAACAGTGTGATGACCTGTAGTCTCTCAAAATAACACAAAACCCAAAACATACATTAAAGTCTGGTAAGGACTTCAACTTAACTTCACTGTTTTATTAGGCACAGTTTAAAGTCACAAAAGTAAATAATGAGTCAAAAAGAAAACCAAAACAAACTGCATTGACGAGAGTTCCGAAGCAAGCCAAGATAACTAATCATAAACTCCAGGAAAATAACCGAGGAGAGTCCATGGGAAGAACGCTTGCAAAGCTAAACCTCTTTCAAAGTAAACACTAAACTTTGACTCCAGCAATTCTGACTGCGTATTTATAAACTTATATACATAGCTCCCAGCTGCAAGCCACGAGGAAGATCATGGTAATCTCCTCTTGAGTAGGCCTCACTTTTCCCTGATCCTCTCCTCCCTGCGTGACCTAGGATTGATAGGGGATGGGCCTGGATCCTCCTCTGATTGCTCAGCTGGCCTCTGCCCTTCCCCAGCCTCCTCCACCACCTCTGGAGCCATACTCCCACTCCCTGTTGGCTGTTCCTCTTCTTCCTCAGAGTCAGTCTCTACCAGGGGCATGACAAACAGTAACTCCAAGGTTTTTATTAGTACCTGGCATCATGACTTCATGGCCCTGCTATGATCATGAAACTGTGAGACCTGACCTTGGCTGGGTGGTACATGACTGGGACGGGAACTGAAATTCTGAGATTTTCACAGGTTTGCAGCTATTGAAGATTCACTCTTTGATTCAGCAAGCAAGTGTGAAAAGCAACCAGCTTGGCTCAGAATGAGCTCTAAACCTCTAGATTTTTCTTAATATGAAGGAGCAATCAAAACATGTTGCTAAACTTCTCAAAATAAGAATGGTCTTCAAATTACTCAAGAGAATCTGGGATTGCACTGTGGGAGAGGAAACTGTAGATTCCACCTTCCAGTGATCAAGAAAAGTGAGGTTTGGTGGGAATATTGTTTAGGAAAAAACATCAGCATTCATAGAATCATTGAGTTGGAAGTGTCTCTGTTGTCCTAGAATCAAAATCCCTTGCTCCATGCAGGAATCCAAATGAGAGCATTCTTAACATACAACAGGGGTCTATTGTTTTTGTAGTTTTGGGCTTTCTTGTTGTGAGCCTCCCAGAGTTGTTTGTTGTTCAGGGGTTTTCAAACTTGACAGCTTTAAGACTTGTGGACTTTAACTCCCAAAATTCCTCCTCCAGTCATGTTAGCTCAGGAATTCTGGGAGTTGAAGTCCACAAGTCTTAAACTTGCCAAGTTTGAAGACCCTTGACATAGAAGAATCCCCTCACATCTCTATTGAACTGGATCCCACTGTCAAACGCTCTTACTGCAGTATTAAGAAGCTCTTGCTGACATTCATTGGGAGTCTGCTGTAATGGGCTGAGAATATCCTTGAGGACCAGGGGGAAGAGCCACAACCAAGACAACTGACAGATAAAAGAATCTGAGTCCAAAGAAATGTAATCTGAGAAAACATCTCAGAATTGACCCTTTTTAGTTCCCTCATAAATAATGGCAGAGTTGGAAGAGCACTTTCAGCTTGCAAGATTGTGTTACTGGTAGTCCTTGACTTATGACCACAATTGGGACCAGTATTTCCATTCCTAAGTAAGGCAGTTGTTGAGTTGTGCCCGATTTTACAACCTTTTTTGCTACAGTTAAGCAAGTCCCTGCAATTGTTAAGTGAAACATACAGTCAATAAATGAATGCACTTCTCCCAAATGACTTTGTTGTTGGAAACTGGCTGGGAAGGTCCCAAAAGACAATCATATGATCCCAGGATCATATGCAACCATCGTAAATACATGCTAGTTGTTAAGTGCTCAAATGTTGACCACATGTTCATGGGGATGCTGTGACAGTTGTAAGTACAAGAACTGGTTCTAAGTCACTTTTTTCAGTGTCTTTGTAACTTTGGTCCCTAAACAAAAAGTTGTAAGTCAAGGACTATCTGTACTTTCACCCTTTAATAAAAGTAGCACTAGTTTTCTAGTCTGGTGTGAAGATTAATATCTGCTGTGCTTTAGCTTAAATGCATTGTTCCAAATCCTGAACTCCGATACGATGGAGAATAGTTCCCATATGTGGCTTGCACTAGGAGCAGTGTTGGCCTCTGCTATTTTTTGGTTCACTATGCATTCCTTCTCCATTCCGATTCTTTCTAGCGCTCTTGCTTCTCTTTGCTCTCCATGACTATGACAAAAGTGGGCACTTGGATGGTCTGGAATTCATGAGACTGCTGAGTGAATTAGTGTTCCAACAGGGAAAAGAACAGCCTGCACCTGACACGGTAGGCACATTTTATTCCTCAGTCTCTAGTAAGGTTGGCACCTTTGCCAATTCTTTTTTCTTCCCCCCCCCCTAGTTTTTTATTAAACTTTACAATTAAAGATAAAAACTAATGCAAACTAAAAAACATAAATTGTAAAAAAGAAGAAACAATATTAAAACCATAAGAATATAGAAGAGAAAAAGAAAAGTATATACTGTATAAACAAATGATTTCGTCCTTTATCATAATCAGTAAACAATTTCAGTAAGATAGCAATCACCTTCTCTTAAGATACAATAAAGGGTATCTTCCCATATTGATATCTTACCTATAAACAAATCCTTAAAACCTCAGCATTCATTCCTTGTCCACAAACATTCAAGAAGTGATTTGGTTACCTATTTTTTATTTTGATCAAATAAATCAACTTTTACTTTTTACTTTTACCTTTTACTTTTAACTATCATGATATTTAATCCCTTTAAATAATGTCATACAACTTGATTTCTTATCATTTTTGCTTTGTCACTTCTCACAAAACTTTAATAGGTCTCTTGTAAACCTAATATAGCAACGTTATTTGTCATACTTTTGGTTATCTTTTATTCCTTTAAATCATTAAGGTATCAACTGGTGTCATCTACATTTCTAGTGTAGCATCTTTTTCCATGTAATTTTTGTAGCCTCTCATCTTCAAAACCACTTGCAATTCAGTCTCAGTCTTGTCTGGTAAAATTTCTTCCTCTTAAATAAAACCTTTAAAAGACAGCCTATAATCATAGACACTTTTGGATCCATTATTCACCAATGTCCCTCAGTGTCTAGTGCCAAAGTATTGCTCTATTCTAAATTAGTTCATCAAATTTAAATGTTCTTTTCCTTTAATTATAATCTTTAGTTCCTTCTGGGTCCCTCTGTAGTGTCCAACCTTCAAAGTGCCATCCTATCGGGGTTTTTTTCTGAATTCAAAATAACAGCATTTTCTCATGGGAAGGTTTATTATAATTAATTTTAAAATCTTATATCAAATCTATCTGAACGCTGTCCATTTGTAGCTTTCCAGAATCAATGTTCTAATCACCCTTTTGCTGTTTATTCCCCATTTTTTAAAAACATCTTAAGCTTGTATTTAAAACTTTTGTGAAGGATTGAAAAAAGGTCACCTGGTGGTATAAAACATGCCAAACCATTGGTTCCTAATAGCTGAAGAGCAGTTAAGTAAAAAATATATATTAAGAAATAAGACTTAATGGACTTTGTGTCCATATAGGCTATTTTACAGCTGTCACCTTGATTAAAATCCCTCAACTCACAAGTCCACCATAAAATGTCAGTCCCTACCATCTACTCACAAGGAGCAGGGGTCTGGATTACAAGTAGGCAATCTTACAATCTCACGTTTATCCAGAGACTTCACTGGCCAGAATTTGTTGCTTGGCAACTGATCTCTGCTGCAATGCCATCTCACTTCTACTGGGATGAGTAGTTTACCATGGATGCTCACCGGAAGTCCCCACATTTTTACCAACTCTTTAAGTAACAAGAGTTGTCTCTAGTTGTTCTCATTCTTTGTCTGGTTGAGCCTTATCAGAATCCCTGTATTCAGTTAAATTTTTTTCTGTTCAATTGTGTCCGTTCTCAGACACTGCTTGGACAAATCCCAGTAGTTTTCTTAGTTTTTCAGAAGTGGTTTGCCATTGCTTCCTTCCTAAGTAGGGCCGAGTGAGAATCATTGGCCCAAGGTCACCCAGAAATCAACTTTCCAGCCTGCTTCTTTAACCACTATACCAAACTGGCTCTCTCTCAGTAGATAATAAGCTGCAAATAATGTACACCTGTTTCTATTCTAAAAGTATCTTGTTGGCCATGGTAGGAAGAGGAAGCTAAAGTAGACTTGGCCTGATCCAGCTCAGTTTTTTATCTTTCTTTTGTCTATAGAAGATGTCAGTTACATTGTTCCTTATCTTCAGTTTATATTGATAATTGGAAAGCTTTCTTGATTCCCTCTGTTGCTTGTTAAATCAATTACTAGAACAAATTAACACAGGAACTAGCCAGATTTCTCAAACCAGTTTCTTTTCAGGAACACAGATTAACCTTTTTCCTTTCAAACAAAGCTGAATAGGGAAACATGCCAAACCATTGGTTCCTAATAGCTGAAGAGCAGTTAAGTAAAAAAAAATTATTAAGAAATAAGACTTAATGGACTTCTCTTGATTCCCTTTCAGGTAGTACCAATGGTGGACAGTATCTTGGAGACTCAGGACTTCAACTGGGATGGACTACTGGAGCCTTTAGAGTTATTTCTTCCTCCACGGCAAGGAGAGAAACCAAACTTCCTTACTGCTGTTAGTGAAGAAGATGGTCCAGTCCTGTGGGCACTTCCTAAGCCAAATGAAGCAGCCATTGGTTTCCCAGGTCCCTCCGAACAACAAAGTAATGGAGACTCCCCACCTGAACCAGCAGTTCAGGAACAAGACATGATGGGTGACCAATTGTGGAGCCTGGAGAAGCATGGGGGAGAGCTCAGCCAGGAAACCGCAGGAGACCCAGATCAACAAGGGGAAGAGATGCCCTCTGCTCCAGGAGATTGAAATACACCCTGTATATAACCTTAGGTGATTAGCCAAGAAGTGAGAACTGAAGGCCTCTAGGTCAATTTCAGAAATGGAATGCAGATAATCACCTCTTTCCCAACATTTCCTTCTGGGTTCCCACCCCTTCTGTTTATCAAAGCAAAACAGAATAGGATTGATTCCCTGTTCAGTCAACTCCGCTGTACCCTGTTATCTAAAGACAGCCCTTTTCCAGCTTTCAAGGGATATATACCCCAGAACTTGAGAAACAGAAGTCACTAAAAACTTCTCCTCACACAATGGCTCCACTTTCTCCTCAGTGCACCTGAGTGCATCATTCAGACATGGAAACACGCCCCCCGCCCAGTACTACAGCCTTTCCAGGAGGTTATGCTACCTAGGTAGGAAAGATTTCTCTAAACTGAAAGGCCTGTCTTAGCAGGTTGCCTTCCTGAATAGTCTCTCTCTTCACAGAGCAGGCTCCCGATTCTAGAGGGCCTACTTAGCATCTCTTGCTCTGCCTTCCTCAAGTAAAGAGGTGCTGCACAGAGGCAGGACAGAACTTACAACTATAATTTCCCAGTCTCGCCAAGGATGTATCTGTGCACTTCAGATGTCCGTTCTGATCACTCACTCAGCAGGGTCCTTTGGGGAAAAGCCTACCCAACACTGCAGAAGGCATCAGGTATGTCTTTTGCCATGGTATTTAAATGACATAATTTAAATGACTGCCCATTTCATAAAAGTGATTCTGAAACAAAACCACAATCCATGTTTTCTAAGGTTAAACCGGTAAACTCCAGTCACGAAAGAGAACACAGCTCACCTAACAACCTGGTCCAAAACCTAGGGAAACAGCCAGAGATGCGTATGCTTCTCCTACACTTCTGCTTTTTCTAATCTGCCAATAAATCGTCTTCAAACTGAATTATGTCTCTGTACCATATAGGAAGAGGAATAAATTATCTTCCTCTGTACCATATAGGAAGAGGAATAAATTATCAGGAATCTTAGTGGCTCAGAGAGGCAAGGACGAACTTCCCTTACAAGGTAGGGGAGCTGATAATCATAGTATCTGACAAAGAGGAAAAATTCAAGGACTGTCACATCAGATTAATCAACTGGGCAGCTAGCTGTTTATACTGTGTTCTGTACTGTAATGTCTTCAGCAGGAAGAGAAGTAGGCTCAGTAGTGGGGAGGAGTGTTCTGGCTGTTGTTGGGTGGCATGGATTACCTTTCTCCTTTTCTCTGTTACTTTACTAAAATCTTTTAAATCGTTCCCAACCTTGGTGTACCAAATAGCAACAAGTGCGTCAGCAGCATCTTAATTCCACATCCTCTCTCCCCTCATAACTTCCGCCACTTCTGGATCTGGCTGGCTGAGGCACAGCTAATCCTTTTCCTTCGAGGCTTGCCTGTGTATGTGTGTGCGTACATACACACAAACCTTAGACTGGAATGCCTTGCATAATCAACCAGGAGCAATCAGCAACTTCAAGTATTTTATTTATCTTTTCATGGTTATACAACGAAACCTCTTTTCCTCCTGGCAGGAGACAGAAGCGTCTGAGCCAGCTTAGCCAGACTGCATATGGAATGTGTGGCAGGCAGCCTGACATGTCTTCCCACCTGCAGGAGATGCCAGAGGAGCAGTGCCAGTGGCACTAACAAATAGAACACGTACCATGAGAAATAATTCAGTATTAGTCCATGGTCCAGTGAAATCCCGCAGGTAACAGCTCTCAGCATGTTGCTCACACGATCCCATCGTACCCGTGAACCCCACACTTCCGGCCTGCCACCTGGCATCCATAGGTTAATGCTGCAGGAAGTGTATTTCCTGCCACAGAAAATGAGAAATCAGTTTAGTTTTAGGACAGATGGGCATAACTGCTGCTCTTTAAAGTGCAGGAGATGGAAGGATGAGGAGTTTCCTCCCCATTCAGATCTGCTTCTTGATGTTATTAGGTAGTGGTTTGTCGTGCAACTTAAAAGTGTTCTGTTGTCCAAGACACAGAAGCAATTGCAAAGGATTCTGCCATTCATGCTATACCTACAGGAAAATGAGAAGCATCCAGAACTCACCTTTGCTTAGAGCCAGGATCACAGCAGCGTTGAATGTGTCTCCAGCCCCCAGAGTATCCACAACAGTTTCAGGGGAGAATGCATCTGAATGCACCAGCAGCTTATCTGGTCCCATTGCGTCAGCTCCATACTCAGCCCAAGCACAGATCAAGGTAGCTCTAGACATGGAGTACAGAAACTAACCCTATGTAGTGTTTTGGATCCATCAAATGAATAAATCCAAATTACTACACAACCAGGCAGAAGTGTGAATGTATTCCTTATCTGCTATATTCCAAACCAGGAAAAAGTAAAAGATGCTTCCAGGTGTTGCAAGAAGGTGGTGCATTTTCACACCTGACTGCTCCATAGTATTTTGACGGGACTGAATCCAAAGCACTGGATAGCACTAATGGGATATTTTCCTCCCTATTAACTTCCATACAAAATATTTTCTATTCCAGCTACTTGGAATCTCAACAGCAAATCTGAAGTTGCTGCTAGAAACTTTGCCATATAACTGGGGACGCTGACTGTTGATTACCCACCCATTCCAATAATGTGCCCAGGCAAGAAGCTGAGCCTGTCTGGGCTTTCCTTTCAGCTCTCAAAAGGGAAGTCTGTGCAACTCAGCCTTTGGCCTAAACAGAAAGAAAGATAGAGGATAGACCTTAAGGGAACATCAGATAGGAAGGTGTTATATAAATCCAATCAATAAAGTATTAAAAGAATTGTGCTTCTGATATAGGATTGCTAACTAAAGCTGCTGCAAAAGATAGTACCTTGGATTGTGCCATCACACGCAACAAGCATTTAATCTGATTTGGGCGTTATCGGCTTGTAGCACCAATTCAACCATGATCAGTACAGTTCTGGCTTAGCATGGTATGAAGCCAACCTGTTGCAGTTTATTCAACAAGTCCCAGTTATACATGGTTTAGCACAGTCTGTGTGTGACTTCAGCCTGAACGTGGCTGAAATATCTCTAAAGCTGCTTGTAAAGAGAATCCTCTCCAAATCGTTAAACAACTTGTGATTTGAGGTTTCTTATGGTGAAGTTGGTTGAGATGACCTCTAAAGGGCTCCCACTTTTGCCTCTGAGATTCTCTTCAGTCTGATATTCTTATTTCATACCACCCCCAATAACCAGGGAAGGATCCAGGTTTGTCCCCATGTTTTGGCTCCCTCCTACCCTGGCTTCAAACGCCTATAGAGCCCCTTCACAGCCTCAGGAGCTGAGTAAAATCCAAACGTCTTGGCCACATCTTTGCTGACAAAGACCTAGAAGAAGAGAACCACAACAAAGTCATCACTTTTTGGCTGGGCCTTATTACGTAGTATCTCGGTGATCAGATAGTGAGTGCCTCAGACTGTTATATATGAAGAAAATGACTGTGAGTCTCCAGAGCATTGGGGTGTATTCTGGCCAGACATTTAGAAAATTTCACTTCACAGCTATAGAAATCCCCCAGGAATATTACTGTTTATCTGTGTGCTCACAAAACTCATCTGCAGAAAATCTCTGGAAATGAGTGACTGAAACAGTACTATTGATTCAGAAATCAATTAACTCAGAATCCTTAATAAGGATTCTAACAGGGGATGCCAATACATCTTCAGTAGTCACAGGAGGAGGAGGCAGAGGCGGCAAAATCTCTTAAATCTATCCTATGAGAGGAACTTAACTGAAGGGCAGATTACTCTTTCATCACTGCTTGCTTTCTTGACCAGCCAAGTTTCCCACCTACATCAACCTACACCACGACTTTACCTTTGACCCCTTACCACATCTCCATAGCAAAACAGCTGGTACAGTTCTGGCCTGGTCTTTTCCACCTCCACAGATGTGGTCACTCGTTCAGATGGTGGGCAGGATTGGTTATACTTTTCTACCTGTTGCAGCATTTTAACCTGTTCCGAAGCATTCCTCCCCTGGGAGAAAATACTATGATTAATGACACAATCTGAGATGTCTGAATTTGATATTATTCCTGGAATTATTGATAGCCTTTGTTATTTTAGATGCCTCACAACTTATAGTAGTTGGGCCAATTTATACCTGCTACTTCCAAAATAGATACCCAGCCACTTCACTGCCATGGAACATCACCTGCCTACTTGTAAAAAAGTGCCCGCATATTGTAAAAGGGTTGTAAATCTGACCACCATCATCTTATCACATGAACAATTAAGACCAACCTCCTTTCCAGTCAAAGCCTTACCTCCCAATGGATCCACTTGTATTGAGACAGGTCAACTTTTTCAAAATCAGCAGCTGTCACATCTGGCAGATTGCTGCAATTGGGAGAATGGAAAGTGGGAAGAGGAAGACAGATTTAATTAATGCAACAAACTGATTTTCATCTTGAATCAGTGAAACAGTAAGCAAATGCATACCTCCTTACAATTAAATAAAACAGGAAACAAAATACTTATTGACTTCTTAAACTCAAAGTGTATCCTGTGTAGCATCCTGTTTTGTTAGCACCAAATGAAATAATCTAGCCAATCCAAAGGGGACATGAATTGTTTTCTTATTGCTTGTCCCGAGTTTCCAATGAATAAACACATTACTCTGAATATGGTGGTTCAGTTATATGCAGAACTGATTTTGCAAGCTTAAAGTTAATTTCACCTCCTACTGGGAGCAATTCCAAAGTACTTTGGAGCTGCTTTGAGCTACACATCCCAAGGTTTTAAGCTGCACAGGCAGCCATCCCAAATAAGAATGTCTCTATAACTTAATTCCTTTTTCCCCAAATTTGACAAAAAGACATGAAGAAATCTCTTGGCAGATGTATAATGTACAATTGGGATGGAATTTATTTACTTAGGCATCTAACTGAACAATAATAAATTATAATATGCTAACCTCTTCCTTGGTTTCCATGATAACAGTCTGAATTTGGAGTCATTGCTTAAGGTAATGTGAGAATAAAGAAACTAGACATATATACATAAACTGAAATGCATTATCATAGAAAACAATAATGGCCATCAGTCTATACAGTGTTAAAAATATAAAATAAACATGAGAAAAAAGGCTAATCTCAACTGCTTGCTAAGTCTGCAATAATTGCACATTTAGTCGTACTAGGTTATTCGGTAACAGTGAGATTGACCTTTGTTCTGCATCTATGGACTGTCCTGGACTGTCCCTCCTTTCCTTAAGCTAAAGGATGCTTGACTAGGATTGAGTTTGATCCTCCATTCTCAACTTGTTCCTTTTATTTCATAGTTACCTCACTCTGAAAACATTGTCTTAGCACTAGGCCATACTCAGGAACTTCATCTGGAGATATTCAGCATGGAAACGGATGCCATTTAATTCTCAGCCCTCATTTTTATGGATTAATTGTACCTGAAATGGATTTGGTTTTAATGATTAACCCACTAGCCTGGAAGACACAGAGACTGCTTTGATCAAAGGCCACAAGAATCACATTCAGAAATATGACAAGCTTGGGCCTTCTGCATGTCCCCAAATTATTAACCAGGCCTTGATACTCTATTAGTAGTGGGAGACAGAAAGCTGCACACTTCCCACCAGTTGAGAAAAGCTAAGGGAAGGGAGGGGTGAGCGTCACATAAGCTTTTGTGTATATATTTTTTATGTGTTCTTTCATTCAATTTGTCTAGCCACCCATCTCAACAAGTGAGTCTTGAGTAGCAAACAATCTTAGCAACAGCAATAGCACTTAGACTTATATACTGCTTTATAGTGCTATACAGCCCCCTCTAAGCGGTTTACAGAGTCAGCATATTGCCCCCAATGATCTGGGTCCTCATTTTATCAACCTCGGAAAGATGGAAGGCTGAGTCAACCTTGAGCCTGGTGGGATTCAATCTGCCAAATTTCAGGCAGCTGGCTGCAACAGAAGTAGCTTGCAGTAC